TTAATTTATATATATATATATATATATATATATATATATATATATATCAGTTAAAAGAAAAAAGAAAATCCCTTTCATAATGGCTAAAATTATAAACGAAAGCGCTCGGACATACAAAACATTTGAACCATTTCCACATAATTTATGTCCAGAACAGAAAATTTTACGAACACAAGAAAAATTAAATAAAAATATTTTCACTGCAGTACCTTGTCAGTCGTTTTTTATATATATATATAATATATATATATATATATATATATATATATATATATATATATATATATATATATAAATAAAGAATAGAAAAGTTCAGAGCAGATAACATTAGAAAGATTTTAGAGTTCCATGAAAATAAGTGGATACAACGTTTAAAACACACTAACCAGCCGTACTTAACCACAAGTTTAAGAACATAGATAGTATTAATATATAACCCCACAAATCAGCATCTGCCCACATTTCTCACCCACACAAGACAGATATGCTTACGGAGGTGTTGAGGTCTCACACTTATACACCCACCCACACGAATATACACACTTACACACATCATACTCCCTCCCTCCCTAATGAGCCAAATAATAACACACATCCATAGTAATATACACGCTTACACATCATACTCACTCACTCCCTACGAACCAAATAACACACACACACACACACACACACACACTTAACAGAGACACTCCCCTTTCCAGGAACCAATAAAACTGTCAAACTGACCAGGGGAATTCAGAGCAGCATGTATCCAGCCAGCTCTTATCTCAAATAACAACTTAAAAGAGACTGTTTGACCAACATAATGAATAACCAAAATTCATGTTTAAAAAAATAAAAAAAAACAAAACAAATGAAAACTACAGACAAAAGTTCATTTTCTCCATCAAGACATTCGTTTCTGTAGTTCACTGCTACCAGCAAGCAGAAATTTTTTTCTGTCCTGATGATGGCCATGTTGGCCGAAACTAGTCGGGGAATCTAAATGAAATAATAATAAAAACGAAAGTATATTAATATACAGCCCAGTGTGTCTGAAGATTTTAATTTTTTAATATTTTTTATTGTTCAATATATATATATATATATATATATATATATATATATATTACCTGAACACCCACAATGTCTAATTGCATTTCAGAGATTTTTCTTAATTCAAATAAAATAACTTTAACCTTGGCAGCAAGGTTTTAATTTTTACTACTGTTGACTCCCAACTCAAACGAGACTTCATATTTTGTCTGTTCGTCCAAAGAACTATTAAATATATTAAAGGTTGGCGGGGGTTACAACAGCAACAACAACCACAATAATATTCCAAAAGGAGGAACTCGATAGAAGTTAGTAAAAAGAATATTTCTTTTTTTTTTTTTTTTTATTCCTGTATGCAGGCAAATGAAACATCAAGGGGCTGTCAGAAGATCTTCCCGTCCTTCTCTCTCGTTCTTTGGAAATGACTGAAGAATAGAAGCGAAGTTATGGCAGGAATTTTCGATTGACAGGCATTGCAGAACGATAACGTCATCGCTTTGCGCGTCTGCGACATGAATGCATGCTGGAAACAGCGAACGTTGAAGATGATTCGGGAATGGTTCTGGCTGACAGGCGCATGGATTCCGTTATAAGAATTTCCAGAAACATGGTGACTAATTGCAAATAAAACCTTTGACTGGAGTTCATTTCAAACAATAGCAATTGTCTTTGTTCCTAGATTTGTAGTAGCAGCAGCAGCAGCGGATCCGTAAAGTTCGAAAGAAATATGATTTTACTTTTTGATGTTAGGAGAAAAGAAACAATTCACTTTTTTTAAAAAACATTTTTCAAAAGGATCTAAATTAAAAAAAAAAAAAAATACTGAAAAATTCATATTTTTCTTTTCCCCATGATTAGTCTAAATTAATTTTTAAAGTAATTTTTTTAAAAAACTCTATGGAAATCCCAACATTAATTTGTTTTGTAAATTATGTCATTCTCGAGAGAAAACCATTCTTTTAATGTGATACTATCAATACCCACATAGAAAAGGGATTTTATCTCGATTTCCAGTGTTTCTGTTATATAGACCAGCGGATGTTTCCTTTGGTCTTGATTCGGTCTATGATTCTTATATATATATATATTTATATATATATATATATATAAAGTTCACTGGCGAAACGGCAAAATAGACATCTCTTCTACTTCAACATCTTCGCAACTCCCGTCAGTGGAAACCCCTATCACTTGCTTCCCTGATAGCTACAATCTTCAAATATTTAAATGTAATGTCAATTGACATCTTTTGATGCCTTGATCTTGATCGCCGTCCTTCTCTTTATCCTTTTCCCCAAAACTCCTCTTTTTCTCTTACTCTCACTCTCTGTAACCTCTTGGGTGCTAGGGGCACTCCCGCCTTGCTTGGGGCGATTTGCTTAAAAAAATCATCAGTATTTTTTTTTTATAACTAGAGGTAGAATAAATCTGATTTTATATTGGGGTGGAGTTTGGGTATATGAGGTAAAAGGTAACTAATACAAAACACAGAAAATCGTGTTGGAAAGAGATTTAAAAGAAGGGATTTTTCAGCGGCACCCAGGTTGCTAGCGAATGTTTCAAAAGGTCGAGGTTTAAAGTGGGTTTGACGACAATGCTGTGGAAATAATTACTCAAGCCCCTCGGAACTTTCCTTTTTGGAGACGCCTCAGGCGCCGGGTAATGACCGCAACCCGCTTCCGAAGTAGAGGAAATGCCTTGCAGGATAGCCCTCTGGGGCTTGAGCTTCATATTATTTTAAAAACATTCCCGGTGAAAGTGAAAGATAAGAGGTTCGAGAGAGGAGTCTTAAATAAACTGAAACTTTGTGTATTAACTTAAATAACTCATAATGGGTTGATTAGCTGTACCCCCCCCAAAAAAAAAAAATCTAAACAAAAACAAATTAGACAATCGTTTAGCAAAGATCAATGTGTAGTGCCTGTTGTCTTTTTTTTTCTTTTTTCTTTTTTCAGTTCATTCGGAAGTTTTATAATTAAAAAAAATCTTGCGCCTGGAATAAACTTTTCTTTAAAAATATTAACTTTAAGGATATTTTTCATCGTTAACTTTTCGCTTTGATTATGTTTCACATTTCTAGCATTTATTCCATTCGAGTCGTCAGCAGAACATCAAGGAAATATGCTTTTAAGAATATTGGTAGAAAATCGATTTCGATTTAGTCGGAAAGATTACAGTGGTTCGGTCATTGCATTTTTTAAAATCAATATTTTGCCATGAGTGTACTTTTATGATTAAATGCATATATATATATATATATATATATATATATATATATATATATATATATATATATATATATATATAGCATACCTTACATGTTGCTTAAAATATTAGATAACCTAAACAAAATAATGTAATGTTATTGCAAGTTTTTTTTTAAATTTTTTACTGATATGAAAAATAAAAGTAAAATAACTAATGGAAGAAAGATCTAATCAGAAAAATTGCTCCCCTCCAAGTTACTCCCCCCTCCCAAGATTCAAACGTGTGTATTTTCACCAATCTATTGCACCTTAATGCAAAAAAAGAAAAAATGTTTAAACTCAACACGAATCCTCCTTTCTAACGCTCGCTGTTCGTGTTTTGCTTCTTCGAATGAAGCATTTGAAATGTAAAAATACACCTCAAACACTTTTGAGCTGTACTGTCACTGATTTCAATTTCAACTAAATTGCGATACGCATTCTGTTAGTCTCTTCTCGTGCTTTTGTTCCAAGGTTGAATTAATGCAGGTTAAAAGCTCTTTCAATTCAGAGAGTATGATGTCAGAACCTAATTGAGAAGAAAAAAAAAAAAAGAAAAAAAGAAGAAATTACGGTATATTTCCTTGTATAAGACGACCTTTAAATACCATAAATCACCACTAAAAATTGGGGATCGTCTTATACAACAAATCTAAAAAAGAAACCTTAAATTCTGAATGTTTGTCGGTCGTATAACCTCGACCTCGGTGTGATAACCAATAAGATACATAAAAAGATTCACATTATCAAATAATCTGATAATAAAAGTAATAAAACCATTTCTGCCATATATATTACTGGCATAACTTTATAATAAATTGTTTTTTCAAAGAATAATTCCATATCAATGAAATCAACTTTTATCTATGCAAGCTCAGCTGAAAAAAATGTAAACGTCGAGTTATGATTGCGAATAAAAACATGTTGAATGTGGAATGTTCTATTATCGTACATTATCGTACTGTTATTAGCGGTATTTTGTGATTGTCAATGAAGTATAAGTAAATGGCCATTAGTACACCAGGCTGTTTGTAACTGTTTAAATATAGGAAAAGAAGAAGAGGAATCAGTATTTGCAAGAGATCACGTGATGAAACGTAAACAAAACAATGGTTCCACTTTTAGGGGAGGTTTGTAGGAAAGGCATGATATAGAACCGGTTTTGTTATTTCGTTTATTTTGACTTTCTATGGATACAGTAAGTAACAACATCTCCAATGACATCATCTTTATATAATCAATAAGCAGTCGTCTTATACTACAGGTATAAGATAAGTTTTATGAAAATTTTCTATATTTTTTTAACTCGTCTCATCTAAAGGTCGCCTTATATGCGGGAATATGCAGTAACTATTTCGATAGTGTATTAACAGACGACAGAAAAAAAAACTTAAAGACCAGGGGAATAACGAAAGATGTTTTTCAGAAAATAAACAAAGTATTAAGACGTAGGAAAATGTCATTAGAAACAACGAAATGAGTGCTGAACAGCTTTGTAGTATCTAATGACGATGGACATTGAATGCTGAACAATTTCATCACAGATGAAAAAGACGCTAGAAACTGTGAACGGAAATGTGTTTATATCGACGAGTGTTAAGATAACAATTCTGTTTCTCTCTTCATTTCCTTCTCTGTTTCTCCCTCTTCTCGATTCCCTCTTTATGTCCCTCTCTTTTCTTATATATATATATATATATATATATATATATATATATGTCTGCATTTTATCGTCTTTCCATTTCTCTTATTTCACGATCTTTCCTTGTTTCGTTTCATTCCCCCTCTTTCCGTCACTCTCTTCATTCCCCCTCTTTCCGTCACTCTCTTCATTCCCCCTCTTTCCGTCACTCTCTTCATTCCCCCTCTTGCCGTCACTCTCTTCATTCCCCCCCTCTTGCCGTCACTCTCTTCATTCCCCTCTTCCGTCACTCTCTTCATTCCCCTCTTTCCGTCACTCTCTTCATTCCCCCCCTTTTTTCCCCCTCTTCATTCCGTCACTCTCTTCATTCCCCTCTTGCCGTCACTCTCTTAATTTCCCTCTCTTGCCGTTTATTTCTTCATTCCCCCCCTCTCTCTCCGTTTATTTCTCCATTTCCCTCTCTTACCGTTTCTCTCTTCATTTCTCTCTCTTTCCCTCACACTCTTCATTTCTCTCTCTCTCTTTCCCTCACACTCTTCATTTCTTTCTCTCTCTTTCCGCAACTCTCTTCATTTCTCTCTCTCACTTTATCTCACTATCCGCCCCCACTAGAATAA